ATAATATATAGATGATAATACATATAAAGAATAATGAAATAAAAATAAAAATAAGAGAAAGAAACAAGCTAACAGTACGAAATGTTTAAATAATACACTAAAACATTATATTTTAGTTATTTTTATATGGAAAATATTGTAGTAACTAAAAAGGATAAAACTTGTCAAAGACTAAAAATATGTGAATTTACTAGTTTAGAATTATTAAAAATGACCTATAAAACAGTAGATCTCAATTTAATTTTATATTTAAAAATAAATGAAAAATTATTTACAAATAATATAAAAAATAATATCTTTATGTAAGTGTTTTTATAATATTTATGAATATTAATTTCTTTAATAAAATAATAAAAATAGTATGATAAAAATTATATTTTTATTTACTATATATTTAGTAACAATTAAAACTGAATGTAGATACAAAAATAATAAAATATAATATAATGAAAAAATTGTATTAAAATGTTTTAAACAACATGATGAAATTATATTTCATACATATTTTATTGATTGTAGTAAATAAAAATTCAATAAAAAATATTATCAATTTATTAATATTTAAAAAAATATTAATTTAAATTACTGATCAAAAATTTATAAATATCACACCTATCAGGTGCTTGATAAGTGTGATATTTATAAATTTTTGATCAGTAAATTTACTTTATGTAAGGTAAATATATATTAATTAAATTTTTAATTTTTATATTTATTTTCTAAAAATTATTTAAAATAAATTCAAGAAGAATCAGATGAGTTAATTAATAATAGCTTTACAGTTTTACACAATAGTTCAAAAAAAATATATTGTTGTAAGTTTAGAATATTTATAATATTTTGATTTTTTATTAATTTATTTATTTTAAATTTTTTATTTCAAATATTTAGTTAATACATTCACATTATAAAAGTAATATTATAAAAAAAAAATCAATAATTCAAAAACTTGTGATGTTAAATATTCAAAATTAATATTACTTGATATAAAAAAGTTTTCATATATAATCTTTATTTTTAGAAAAATTCATTTACATCCTTTATCTCCATCTAATCAAGTTTCAATTACTATTCATGATCATTTACAAGAATTAATTCATCAAGCAAATGACAATACTGGAAATTTTACTTCAACTCATATTATCAAATAATTTTTAAAAAATTATTTAAATAATTAAATGGTTAAAAATAAATTTTATTTTGTTTAAAAAATATTTTTTTTAAAAAAAAATACTAAAAATTAATAATTTATTATTACATTTATATTAGGAAATTTAATTAAAACTTATTTTGGAATTGAATATTTTGTTAAAATTCATGTTTCATTAAATAATACAAATCACTTAAAATATCATGTAGATAAAATACAAAAAGAAATTAATTCACAAGGAACTGGTTTTCTTAAAATTGTCTATAATTATTCTAAAAATATTAATAATTTTTATAATTATGTAAAATATTTAGGTAAATATTATTTAATTTATAATTTATATTTAAATATTATTAAAATTTATTTTATTTTATATAGAATTTTTCAAAAATAATCATGTAATAATTATTTGTACCACTTCAGAACAATTAAATGAATAGGTAAAATGTTAATTGACTTGTCATTTAAACGAGTTGCAGAAGAAATTAATAAATTTGAAGTTAATTATTATAATTTGGATCACAACTTAAGTAAATTTTTATATTATATTTTCTTTTTATTTTTAAAATAAATAATTTTAATTATAAATACATATTAATATTATATTATTTTTTAGTCATATAAAAAATTTTGGTACACCGTACAAATATGTTTTTATTTACAAAAATTATAGTACAATAATATCAGTTGCTGGATATACACCAGCCTGCCAAAAGTATCCGGGCAACAATTTTTTTGTCAAATTTTTAAAAAATTTTAAGGATGAATTATAGCACAAGTAA